TGCTGGAAACGACTGTAGTACATATGCCAGGCCTGTAAGTGGCGCTGCTGCCGCCACAAATACACCAAAAAGCAGCGAAGAAGACCCCGGAGCATGGTTGCCATGGTTGCCCTTCTGTTTATTCTCCGCGGTGGACGACGTGTTCTCCTGCTGTATCTCTCAGGTAGTCCACCAGCAGATGAAAAACACCCACCTCTCCGCCTCTTCGAGGGGACCGTGCGGCAGAGTTTCCGTTAAAAAAAATGTTCCGCCGGTCAACATGTCCGTTAAAGTTTAAATCTTCCGTACAAAATTAGAAAAGTGCCGATCAGAGGTCTTCTTTGTTATTTATTGAGCTTTAAAACAAATTGATGACGACTCTGTTCTCTGTATAATAATGTTTAATAAACGGTGCCTGCCTCTCTTTTCCTCCCCCTCCTCTGACAGCCCAGCAGCAGCAGGAGACGTTGGGAGAGGGAGGCGGGCTATTTCATCGTAATCAGAAAATGATCTTATAGGGCTTACACACGGAGCCGTTGGACCCCCAGAGCGTTGCGTATGCCGGTCTACCCACCTTGGGACTCCCCCCCCCCCAGAGCGGAGCAAGGCAACGAAACTTAAAATAAGAAGCAGCATTTTACGGCGCGCTATGGGGCCGCCTTGAGGGGGTTTCCCGACATGTCGTTTCAGTAAATTAAAGGGTGTTTCATGTTGTCGTTGCTGTGGGACCTTCTTAATACCTTGGAAAATGCCGTTTAATACTTTTTAATACTTTTTAAAAGCCTTAATTTTCGCTAAATTGATTTATCAACTTTTAATACTTTTTAAGACCCCGCGGACACCCTGAATAAACATACAGCACCTTCTCATAGATGTCACATACACATCTATCTAAATGTGTCAACCGTTTAGTCTTAATCGTATTGCTTCAGATAGGAAAATAAAGAGCAGGAGAAACGAGATATTGTTTAGTTGTCTCGCCATCATCACCAAAGTAGTGTGAATGAACAATGGACAATGCAGTCAATTTACCATAAAATTATACAACAATAGTAAGAGATGCAAATATTAGCTCATAACTTGTAATTGCCCTACCTTGACAATAGCCTAGATGGCGATTATTGACTTATTTTAGTACTTTTGTCAAAGAAAAACGATATTTGAAAAGTAAATGAGCATCTTCTATGGTGGAAAACATTACAGAAAGCCCACGGAAGTAATTCATAAAAAAAGAAAATGTGTATAATACGACATATTAGCATATTAATACATTTAAATCAGTTTCCATTTGACCCAATTTCAGCAGTGACGCAGGACATAATAAATCCGTCCCATCATGCCATTCGGCCCAAATGAAGTGATTGGACGGCCGCGGCCGCCTTACCTGTCTATCAGCGCCGTCTACCTGTACGCGCTCGTGCACCTATACGCGTCACCGGACCGGAGTCTTCCCCATGCATGGCAGCCGTGAGTTGTCTACGTACATTAGCAACGTGTGTTGTTAACGTTTACTATATTATGTTTACTTTTTTTTTTTTTTTTGCGGTGGGGTTTTGGAGGGAAGTTTAATGGGACAGGCTTTCAGTTTGCAAACTTTTATACTTTTTTCGCGACTTTGGGAGCTAGTGCTGCTAGCTACTTATTGTTGGAAAAGAGTTGGCAACACTTGGCTCTTGCTAGTTACTCAAGATTTCAAACGATAGCACTTGCGTGAGTTAATGAAAACACATATTTCTACAATTGTATGTGTTGGTGGAGCCAACTCTTGGGACTGCTATTGAAATAATTTCTAGTAGGCCTATAAATAATTTATAAATTCTACCAAAATGCAATCATGTGTAACACTCTAAAAGACACATTGTCATGCTGTCTCCCTCTCTGCGCAACATACAATACAATAAACTGAAGCTGGGCCCCATAATGACTAGCCATGAAAGAATGTCTCAAAGAACTGTTAAGAGGATCAATTGTATTAACAACTGTAAGGTTTACAGTGATGCAACGCAATGATTGCTTTTGCTGAATATATTCTTGGTTCCTTTCTCTTTTTTTTCAAGTGAATTGACCAAAAAAGGTAGAATGTCATGACAGGAGCTGAAATGGTTGAAAACGTGTCTTTATTTTCGATATGATGACTAAGAAACTGACCCTGTTGCCAGTGCTGTAATTGATACATAACGCCTATACATTGTGTTTAACTTTTGATTATGTAAGTTATGTAAGTATGTGTATTCAGTTAATGTCTGTATGATGATTACATCAGTAAAGTGATGTTATAAGATGTAAATTAAAAAATATCCTCTTGACTCTTGAAGTTCTAAAAGCATAGCTTTATAATGAATAATGACATAAAACAAGATATGGTGATGATAAACAATTAATGCTGCAAGTGTTAGATCATGATGGTAACTAAAGCCAACTGTACACATACATTAAGGATTCGTTTGCACCAATACAATTGAACGTAATAAAACGTAATGTTTTATTATAAATCAAGCTATCCAATAGTTTATGTAAATACAGCTGATCCATTCCTTTTCAATATGTTGAAATCAGCTCCAGCTCAACCAAATACACCAGTCAAATCCTGATTTCATTAATGCATGTGAAAAGACACTGAGCCATTTCTCTGCATTCTTCAACTTTCCTATACATTTCTAGTACACCTGATATAAATGGGCTATATCATTTTGTGCAGATATTTTTCTTCTACACTGTTGTATTGCTGCTTTTACTGAAGTAACACACTGATCTGACAGCTCAGTTACACATAGGTCACTAAGCAGAGACATATTATTTACCATCGTTTTGCCTTGCTAATTTACCCTAAAAACACGATGAAACATTTTCTGTTTGCAACTCACAAATGTTATGTTATGTTGTTATTAAAAAATCTGCTCATTGAGCATTTCAGTGTCCCAGGGCTGAGCTCCAGTGTCAGCGCGCGCCGGCTATACTTATCACTGCAACTGCGGTGCACTGTGGGCCTTGACGCTGACAGTCAGCCCTATTTGGACACGGCTTCAGCCCCAGCCTGTCACTTTACCAAACGCCTTCCATTCATTATCTAACACTCGCACAAATCCCCCTTATATTTCTATTTTTTGTCAGACTATCAAAGAGTTTACTGAAGTTTCCCCTGCTGCTGTTGGCCGCTATATTAAGCGAGCTGAACAGGTACTTTCGGCCACAGAGACTCAGTCCTATAAACGGCAACACAGTGTTTTAGGGAGCGGCTAACTTCAGGGCTTTTCTTATTAATAGGCGGCGGGCGGATTATTAAGCACGTACCCGGCGGTCATGGCGATGTTGTAGAAAGTGAGCCATGCTGTAGCGAGGGCGCTTTTCGTTCTCCTCTTGTTGTTGTTTTCCTTCTCCTCAACCGTGCCGTCCTCCTCGCTGGACGCCATGGTATCGGGGGCAGGGTGGGCAAGTCAGGAAGGGAGCTGACAGCTGGGACTGGTGGGGAGGGGAGCAGCGGGGTCATCCATCCCTGCGCCCCTCTCTCGCGGGACTAGTGCTGCAACAAGTGCGTGGCCTGTCGGTGGGAAATGGACTCTTGTTGTTATAGTGTGAGAGGAACAAAAACGTAAAGTACAATACCACAACTGCCTACACCTTTCATAAGAGTAATATTTGCTTCATAAATGTGCAGTAGTGAAGTAAATTGTAATACTAAGTGTATATACTCCGGTGATGTAATTAACATTTTTGTTTATGCGTTGCCAAAGTGGGCCTTCTTATCAAAGTAGTGGACTGTACTATGCAGACTTATTTGATCAGTGTTAACGATCATTCAACAGTAAAAACATCATGTTGCAGAGTGTAGCAACAGTTGGATGATGTACAGTGACCAATGAAAGCAACACAACTTTAGAAATACACTTATTAAAATCCACACTTTTATTATACTAAAAAAAACGATTGAAATATAAGACATTTATTTTAAAGTACTAAAAATTAGAATACTTAATAATATGAATTAGTAATGTAGGTAAACAGCACATTTCTGATTATTGTTATTATCCAAATGTCACATACGGGTGTGAGATAATGTGTGTGTGTAGATGGATTATTTATTGAAACTTTTCAGTAGCTCAGTAGCCAAGGGAATAAAGACTACAATCACTGTCATTATAAAGACACAAGATTGTTTTACATTTACCTGAATTTGTTGTCATGATTTGCACATGTTGTTGTACACTTATCACACTTTGCCACTAGAGGGCGATCTATACATATAAGAGCCACAAGTGTTTTGGATGTTGCTCTTAATCACTGTGTGTGTTACTCAAGTCCATTTATGTTTGCTGGTTTTGGAGAATAAAGGGTATAATAATGCAAATCTACATGCTTTTCAGATACTTCGATGAATTTAGGTTATCTAGTTTGTGTAGTTGACTGATAAAACGAGATTTTTATTTCATAGGCGAAGTATGTGAAGAGCAGTCACATCCCCATCACAGCATGGTACACAAAGCCTAGTGCAGTGTAAGCAGTTGGTGAGCAGAGAGCAGGGCTGTGCTGTGTGGAACATGCTAGTGGTGGGCAGACAATGCAGCGGTCCGAGGCCTGACCAGCCCTCAGAGGGACAGGGCTCGCCTCACTGCGACAACAGCCCCCGTCTCCCTCCCTTCTTTTTTTGAGCTCCACAGCATGGGCTCGGGGAGGACGCTCAAGTTTGCCCTGTGCGAGGTGCTGCAGTTCGCAGGCCTGTGCGTGCCGCTCTTCATCGTCATGCAGAGGTTCGCCGTCATCGTAGCAAAGGTCAAAACGTCCGCGCAGCCGCCCCGAGACGGCAGCACGGCCTACTGGCTGATCGTGGCCTCCTCCATCGCCTACGTCACCTCCACCGCCCTGCTGGTCTGGGTACCCATGAAGTACATGGTCTTCGTCAAGAAGAAGTTTCTCATCGGGAGGAAGAAGTGGTGAGTTTCTACATTTCTCCTGATGTCAGTGTTGTGGTGAGCAGTGCAGAACTGACTGAACCTGACCTGATGGTTTGGACTGCACTGCCTTTGTCTTCCTTCCTTACTTCTTTCCTCTCCTTTGTCTTTCCATCAGGAGGCCTGTGGCCCTCGTTTATGTGATCCTGTCCACATTACCCTGCTTTGCCTTTCTCATCGCCAGCTCTGAGGTACAGCAAGATGTGTAGTGTGTCATGTGTTTTAGGAGTAGTAGTTGTTTTGGAATATAGTGTCTCTCATCAAAAAATAACCGCTGTGATTCGCCAGACATTTGCGTAATCACGGTGTGAGGCATCTGTGAGTGGAATAAAGGTGATGATTTGTGAGGAGCTCTTTGCCTCTCAGGGGATGAATATGGATAAGGAGCTACTGATAAGCAGCTTGGTTCCTCTTCCTGTCCAAGCTGCCCCTGTCATATCATCTGTCCATGAGGCACCTTTTCACTTCCTCTCTGGCTGCGGCCCAGGTCCCATTTGCTTTTTTTATGTGGCCCTTTCTGGAGTCCAAGCTGACCTTTTTAGGCATTTGCTTATCTGGTGTCTTTTACACAAGGGCCATCAATTCTACTAAGATGACTAACTTGTCTGCTTTGTTCTCTGTCCTGTTGGCATGAAGTCCTGACTCAGGGAAATACCAGCGCTGTAAGTGATTTAGCCCACAGACCAAGAGGAGGTCAGACATGTAGACGTAAAGCATTGGTGCAGAGATGGGATCTAAATTGATTAGAAGTAATCACATTAAATATTCTTATATGATCAACATGTGATTTTCCCGCTGTTTCCCTAGGTTCAGATAAATAATAACATGACATATGATACGTTCACGGAGCTCCCTGTGTCACTAGTCCTCTTCTCCCTCATCTGTATTGACGTTGTGGAGAGGATACGCCACTGCAGACTGACAGGCCATGGTGAGTGAGCTCTCTGAACACATCACACAAATCACTCACCTTTAGAGGGCTTTAGATCCCGATCTTCAACATTGCAGGAGCCTGGATGCAACAAATGGATGTTAATTTATCCATAAAATAACTACTGTGGCTCTGTGCCAGAAGTTGTTGTAACTGAGGAAATGTGCTTTTCTCTGTATTATGTTTACTTTCTCTCCCCAGCTAATGAAATGGAGAGAGATGCCGACATCCCCTCGACAGTCCTCACACATGTGGAACAGGTAACCCCAGTATCGCCTATCACCCCAGCCGGGCCGGGGCCATCTGTGCCCGGGCAGGCTGGGAAAAATCCCATGCAACCGGTACCAGGCCAGCGCAATGACAGGAACCAGAACGGACCAGGGGCCCGATCGGAAGCCAACGGGACCCTCCCAGGGATACATGGTAACCCCGGGAGACCGTTTAGCATCTCTGGATTAAGCTCACGATCTGCAAGCACCTCAGTGTACCATATTTCTCCGTACGAATACACGGGTCCACTGAGATTCCTGTGTGCCAGCGACGCTCGTGCCGATGTGTTCGTGGACAGCTTTATGTTCTGGATGGATACCGTGGAGATGGTGAGGGTGGCGGGGCATCCCCTTGTCTATTACTCAGGCTGGGTGTTCCCCATCTACATCTTCAGCTACCTGTCCTGCCTGCGGGTCGTGGTCATGCCCCACAGCCCGCTGCTCCCCTCACTAGGAGTGGCCCTGCAGGACTTTCCGTTCTTCTTTGTGCGCGTCGGCCTCATCGCCTTCTTTGGCTTCGTCACGCCCGTTCTCTATCTGATGAAGAACCTGCTGGTCTGCCTAGCGTTTGTTTATTTCAACTTCATGACCAAACTGAGGGTCTTCAACACAGAGAGGATGTACTTTTGAGACTTCAAGAAAGACATATACTAGGAACAGGCAGAATCAGGAATTGAAGAGGTGGTTGCACCAACTTTTAAGTTCGAATTGGCAACAAAGAGGAGACAGTTGGTCACAATGCATGATGGTACTTTCCACGGGCCAATAGGGTTCAATGTTTTCCCAAAAAGGACCTTTACAGTGTGTGTCACATGACTGTGTTGCGTATCATTTAACTTTCATGTTCAAACATTACTCCTCTAAACCCCTCACCATGCATGGCACTTGAGGAATGTACCTGTATTGTCATTTGAGAGTTTATAGCAGTTTCTTTCTACCCTGATAAAGTGCAGTGAATGTGAAAAAAACTAAATCCATGTCGTTTACATTGAGTTTTTCTTTGCCAAGTTATATCCAGAACGGAACAACATAGTGAGTTTGTATCATTGATACATATATTTTGCTAAGATTAATAAAGAAAATCATTTAAATAGATGTCTTAAGTTTCAGTAGTGTGATTTATGATTTTGACCTCCATTCATAACTTTTTAACTGGACATTTTTCGCACTTTTTCCCAATCCCTCCCCAAGAGAACAGGTTTCCTGTCATTATTCTGTGAAACAGTCTCATCACATGCCTTCCCGTAAACCCACGGTCTAGAGCTCAAGAGCACTGAGAACAAGAAGGCTCATTAAACTTCAAAACGGGCCTTCAAAATAAAATGTAATGGCTGGTCAAAATGACAAGAACTAAATAATGATGCAATGATAAAGACGAAAGAGAGATTTATTACTTGGCGATTTGCATTAAATTGTACATCTATTATCGATAATACTTCTGCTTTCCAAAATATTATTGTTTTCATGTACCGACCCCTTTTATAATTCATCTTAGTATTAGACTAATTTGATGCATTTCTGTGTACTTCTACAGTTGCAAGAAAAAGTATGTGAACCCTTTGGAACTACCTGGATTTCTGCATAAATTGGTCATAAAATGTGTTCTGATCTTCATCTAAGTCACAACAATAGACAAACACAGTCTGCTTAAGCTAAAACCACACAAACAATTATATGTTTTTATGTTTTTATTGAACACACCATGTAAACATTCACAGTGCAGGGTGGAAAAAGTATGTGAACCCTTGGATTGAATAACTGGTTGACCCTCCTTTGGCAGCAATAACCTCAACCAAACGTTTCCTATAGTTGCATATCAGACCTAAGGAGGGTCAACCAGTTATTCAATCCAAGGGTTCACATACTTTTTCCACNGATGAAGATCAGAACACATTTTATGACCAATTTATGCAGAAATCCAGGTAGTTCCAAAAGGTTCACATACTTTTTCTTGCAACTGTAGAAACTTGTGCTTATTTTTTATTGAAAGCTTTTTCTTTAAACTATGTTAAAGTAGTTATATATTTGATTTACTGTATGTTCTGCAATTCGGTTTTGTGTTCATTTATGGGATTAGTTTTGTGTCATAAAGATAAAGCAACACTTTCTCAGAATAAAGCAAAACTAAGAGTTTAAAAGAAAAAAAAACTGAGTCAAGCAAAATAAAATAAATTTCAAAAATAAAACTATAAGTTGCAAACAAATCATTTGTGTAATCATGTAAACTATAAGTCTTTTTTCTTTGTTTTAACATAGGTTTTTGTTTGCAGTTCTTGTTTCTTCTTTCTCAATGATCAGACTTTTGCTCTCGCTGCAGCTCTTCTCATTTGCGCTCCCTCATTTTTTGTTTGAGATTCTGACACAAACCTCCCAGGTGGGCGGGACTTTCAGGGATGAGTCCCCATTGGCTACTCAGTTTTTGAGTGACAGCTGTTGTACAGTGCAGGCAGAAATGAATTAAATGAATTTAACTTCTGTTAGACAGCCATATGCCATACATTTTTGCATTCATTCACAGTACACATTTATTCAGTATGATAGCTGTCTAACAGAAGTTAAATTCATTTCTCACTTATTCTGACAATGTACTTAACCCCAAATAAAAGAACCCAATAAAAAGAGTTGTTAAATAATAGTGAAGCCACGTTGTAATAACAATAACTCATCTCTCTCAAGTTTTATTTTTCAACTTTGCCAAAAGCCACTGTGTCAAGTGTCCTTCTTGGGGTGCCGTCCGGAGTTCTCCAATAGAGGCGAAGTCCGGCCCATCTACTTCCGACCCATGGGACCCCGGAAGCGGAAAATTATACATTGAAGTCAATGGAAAGAGAAAAGTCATCTTTCGATCCCGTTTGAATTGTGCCACGAATGACACATATGATGCTTGTCAAATTTAAAGAACATTTTGCAAGTCAAAAAAATTAAAAATGTGTCGTAAAACTGTGAAGTTACACATTTTTTTGTGTGAAACCGCTCAGTGAACTACATGTCTCTGGTCTCGCACAATACGCGTCACCATCACAAAGATGGCCGTTACGTTAGTGAATTTCACCTGTTTCTTTCAGAATGAGGCGAAAAAGTATAAAACGAGGATAAAATCACTACAAGTCTGGGCATGTTGAGAGCTGTACATACACGGTTCTGTAAGAGCCAGCATGCGGGACCGGCTTTAC